AAGGCAAGTTTTTTTGCGAACGTTTTGACTAGATTCCGAAAACTCGATAAAGCTAATTGCTTTCAAACAATCAATCAACCGATTTTTCAGTTTCGCAGTCTTCGAGTAGTTAATTACACCACAGTCAGAGCATGTTTTAAACATCCTTTTTCCAACACAGTTCCAAAGTTCCTTGGCATTGTTACAGTACCCGCACGACTAATAATATCTTAGATCTCTTAACAAGGAAACAGCATTTCTCGTCTTCTTCATCATCTTCATCATCTCTATTTGAAATACACGGGATCATCACATGCATACATAACTTATCTTTCAGTAAACCGTACACTAGCCTGCGAAAACAGCCGTTCTTCTTCTCTCCCGGCCCGAGAAAGAATTTAAGGACGGCTGTTTTCCCAGGCTAACTGTATATTCTTAATAAGAAAAATAAAAGAATTACGCATTTAGTCAACTGCAATGAGTTTTATCTTCAACGACAACTCCTGGTCTACTGCATGACAGTAAAAACGTGTGCCTGCAGTACACAACCGAACACGCTCAAAGGTTATAAGTCATGGACGCGTTGGCCCAACGGATAGGTTGCAACAGTTGGTCAAGAAATTAACACTGATTTAGTCGTTGTTAATGCATAATGTTATCAGAAATGGAAAAAACATTGACAAATAAACCTACGTGCTCATTTTCAGGTTTGTAAACTTTAAGGGGGAATTCTTATGGACGTTAGAAAATGAGATTGATTTGTAAGGGAAGATGTTTTGCCCTCCAGTCACGCTCCAGTTTTCCATACAATCCATGTAATTTTGCAAGTTTTCAAAGTGCCATAAAATCTTTGCCTTTCGGTTTAAGAGCCTAGGATTTTCCATTCTTCCTAATATTTTAACCCTTTCTTATTTCCAATAGTTATATTCCGGCAGCTTCCTTTTGTAGTGTGATTAATAAGGGAAAAGGTTTTGGGAGGGCAATTGCAAAGCTTCCTCGCTTCACTACAAATCGTCATTAAATCGATCTCAACCTTACACTGCATTGGTCTGAAAATTGCTGTACTGGCTACTTTAAACATGTTCTTTCCAGTTCTGAAATTCATTTCACTTCACTTAGCTTCTTTGTGCCTCGTGGAAATTCATTTAGCTGTAGTAAAAAGTTTAGAAATTATTGGTCACGTGACCAACTGTTGCAAAAGGCCTATTTACACCAGTAAGATACAGTAAAATGGATAAACAATTATACATCGGTAACTTGCATGCACCGAAGCCGGACACGTAAACCCCAGAAACGACAATAAACCTCTGATGATGTGGAAGTCATTTTCGAAAGCAAGCGTCCAATCACACCGTTCTAATGGTTTCTATTTGATTGCGTAATGAGAGACTGTTCACAGCCCTCTATTTCCTCGTATTTATTTTTTTCGATCGTTGATAGAGAGGCTGAGACCAATCTAGCCTAAAATTGATCGAAAATTATTGGGTTTTGTGTGAAATGATTATCATTTGAATCGGATATTAGCTATAGAGATAGATACATACCGTTTTGCACGCAATCTCTTTCCACTCTTTCAAGGAATTTGTAACGCTGGATGGGATCGCAAACAGTCACACGTTAACAGTGTAGCCCATGTTTTAAATAACAAATGCTAGAAAAGTATCGATGTATAATTAAATTGTTTGGAATGACTGCGGGATGATAAACTTTGTTTCGATGAACATGTTTGTAACATATGAAAAAAGATAACTAATCAATTCAATGTAATTAGTAAATTTCATGAGCTAATATCTGCCACTATATTACTACGTCTCTACAAAGCGTTTATAGTACCACATTAATTTTATTGTTCCACTATATGGCATTTTTGCGACTCTAGGAAAAGGGATAAGTTAGAAACATTGAATAAATGCATTCTTAGGGTCATTTTAAACGACAGAGTTTCATCATACAACATTCTCTTAGAACGGATAGTAGACTTATACAGCGGCTAAGTTCTGGAATGCTTTACCTGACAGATTAAGAGCTACTTCTTGTCTCAATGACTTTATTAGAGCAATTCGACAACATGAATTAATTGGCTGATTGGAATTTCTTCTAAGTTAATATTTTATTCAATATACATAGTGTTACATTATTTTGATTTTAATTTTCTCGGAGATACTAGCTTATTTTTGGCTACTCAAAATCTGAGATAAAATAAAGTTGTATGTATGTATATGTATGTATGTCCTCCACGTTACACCGGAGGAATTTGAAAACGCAGCTTTTTTCTACGGTTTGGCCTATCGTCCATACTAATCCGTCACGAAAACAGAGCTTTTCGAAAGCGCGCTTCAAACCGGACGAATACAAAACGCCGGCTTTTCGTTTTCGTGTGGACGGAAAACATTTTGAAAACGGAGCTTTCGAAAATGATGACGTCACGATAATGGTGTGATTTTACTGACCGAGTTTTCCTCAACTGAACGCAAATCCATCCAGCGTTTTTAAATTCCTCCGGCGTGGTGTGGACGGAAAACACTTCACTCGTTTTCAGAGTGAAACCTCCGTCTTCAGTTACCTCTGGCGTAGTGTGGTCGGGGCGTTAGTGAATGTTAAAAAGAACAAAAATGTTTTTAGCAAAATGACTTAGCACACTTTATGATCAGCATATGTACACTGATAATGATGCATCAGGTTCTATTTCACTCCCCCTGTTAAATTGTGGTAGACAAGGCGAACTAAAAAGCCCTGTGACTCGAGAGAAAGGGTTACGTTTATAAAACTGTAAACCTGTTTCATCTATAAAACTGAACAGATGTAAACGGTACGTTTCCTCTCCAAAGTTGTTAAGCAACATGACTTGTTCTCATGCCAACGTGCTCACCGACAAGCATGCTCGCGATAGTTTGATCGGACGGCTGATTGCACTTGAAGAAAGATTTACCAAAATACTAACTGCATTGTTCTTTTGTTTCCATTTGACTCTATATCTTGTGATTAGGGCGCAGACAAATTCAACCTAACCTTGAATTGAATACCTGTGAGGGGATTATTACAATATTTAGAGAGCAAGCCACATCAGCCCTAGCTGGTTTTCATGCTGGTCCCCCATCCTGGTCAAATTGAAATTTGGAGATGTTGGTTGCTGTGGAGGGAGGAAAACTGGAGAACCCGGAGAAAACCTTCAGAGCAAGACGAGAACCAACAACAAACTCAACCCACATATGACACCGGGCCGGAATCAAACCCAGGCCACATTGGTGGGAGGCGAGCGCTCTCACCGCTGCGTCATCCCTGCCTCCCTGGGTTTGGAATATTTTATCAGTGACTGGCTAAGAGATCCATAAGAAAATTACAAAATTAGGCGTCTGATTCAGACTAGAATCAAGCTCATTCTGATGAGTTTTTGACTGCAATTTAATGTGACACAAAGCAACTTACAAACATCCTCTTTTTTCAAAAGCAAAACTGAAAGTATTATTTTTCACTATAATTAAAACGTGCCTTAGATAAATTGCATTCAAGTCTTTTCAGTGAAATCAATGTAAAGATTCTTTTTGTTCTATGCTAATTAGTAATACAGTTATCATTATTTTTTAAAAAACAAAACATCATGCACACTTTCCTTCTTGTTAAAAGTCTTGTTACTAAACATTTTTGCACTTTGAAATTGAAGTGGCAAAAAATTAAGTAAGCCTGAAATCACATTTCAACAAAGTCATCTTGCCCGCTAACAATTTTGACAGGCAGCAACCAGCAATAAACCACTTTGGCATCCTGGTCATGCAGTTCCCATTTGACATCAAGTTGCAACTGAAAAAAAGTAACAACAATAATGGAAATACATAAGATATATACAAAGGCAAAACCTACACTCATACCAATAAACCCTTGTTTGTTTTGTTAGTTTGAATTTTGCAAAAAAAAAAACAAAAACAAAAAAAAAAGAAAGAAAAAACTAGCAAGACAGGTTGTTACATGTTACGGGAAAATGTCCAAGCATTTATTAGCTAAGACTAATTACTAGCTTTGTATGTAAATCACCCTTTTCAGATCATTTGAGTTTCCTAAAACATTCATGCACACCAGAAATGATTACACTTGAAAGAACAACCCTCAAGAGTAGCAGTCACACGATCTGAAGTTGGACAACAAACAACCAAGTTAATGAGGTCCATATCATCGACATTCTTTCCCAAGTTTAACGATAAATGAAATCCTCCTTGGTGCTATATCACCAATGTAGTAGATAACAAGAATTCATTTTAAAATATAAACCAACATGTAGGTTGATGAAAACAAAGTCAAATACAGCTTCAGTTACAGCTGAATCTTGCTATCCCAAACTGTGTTTAATAATATTATACTTAGTATTTTTTTGCGTGTGTGTTTGTTATTTTTGTGCCATCACCTAGGTGTAGGTTTTAAAGGAGGAAGGAAGGAGAACCAGAGCACCAGGAACTGCGAAGCAAGGCGAGAACCAACAACAAACTCAACCCACTTATGGCACCAAGTCAAAATCAAACCCACACCACATTGGTAGGAGGTGAAAGCTCTCACCACTGCGCCATCCCTCATCATATTTAAGTGCCCCCCATCTGTATGATTGTCCTTTTGTGAAAGTGAAGAATGATTGTCGCAGGAAATTTTCCAATTTAAGCAACTGGAAAGCAGAAGCCTGAAAAAAATCAGGGCTTCAACGGGATTCGAACCCGTGACCTCCACAAAATACCGGTGCGATGCGCTACTGACTGAGCTATGAAGCCACACATTGGAAAATTTCCTGCGATGATCATTCTTCACTTTCATCTACAACCACAGTTGAATTATTTCATATATACTTCACATTGTCCTTTTTTGCACTGAATTTCAGATGTCAGTATAAAGTCACAAGAGAACCTCAAATTTAATTGTACAAGGAGATAAATTAGCTGGCTAACAATGTACTTGGTTCTCACTGCAGCCAGGAGAAATTTACTGGATGGATGGTTTAAGTCAGATAGAACTTACCGCAGGGTATTCGCTCTTGACTGGAAGGGTAGCTTTGAATGTTTGTGTCTTCTCGGCAGGCATTGGGCATGTGATTCCATGTTCTTTACATACTTCAGGGTTATCAACAGGGAAAGGTACTTGTACTCCCTCAATGATTCCATAAACAACAGTCTTACCTTCTGTGATGTTGCTGTCTGCAAACAATCACGCAATGTAAGCGATTTATTCTCACATTGATTACTTAATAATAAGGGAACATATGACAGGTCTGAAATAAGTTTTTCTTTTTAGGTAGAAGTAAGAAACATTGCAGCCTGACAATAAGTCTTACCAAAGCATAATCAGAAAAAAAGTTTCTTTTGAATTGATTCATTATTTTTTACTGCATAGCTTCTTGAGGGAACTTGATATTATAAATACTTAAACAAGTTCAAAATTTTCACTGCTTAAGGCAAGTGCACTGGTTTGCCTATTACTACAGTATAGCACCCTATGGCCCTGAGGAAGTTGTTCAATAAATATTAAGAATTATTTGGTTTTCAAGAATTGTTTAGTAGCTTTGCTAATTTATTAGATCGTGATTTAATTATTCAATAACAGTCAACACTTGAGCAGTCACACTTTAGCAATGGAAAAGCAGCCGCTTGAAAGACCATGCCTGGTGAAAAACCTTCATCTTGCAAAGATCCTTTAAAAATTAAAGATGTTGTGAAAATCTTGGCATGGCTCCACCAATAACTTTGAGCAAATTCTTCAAAGATCCTTAACTGATCTTGGTCAAGGTCTTTGACGATCCCGACAAGGATTTTGAAAAAGATTACTTACATGTAAGATCCAAAACCTTTGAGGATCTCAATTAAGATTTGGCTCAATAAGATCCCCCTAACAACAGATCAAAAATGTCACCAATCAGTTAGCCCGCTATGATCTCTGTGACATAGTGCAAAGCTATAACCCCAGGGGGGGTACTTCAGGAATTTCTGGGTGGAGATGTGTCGCTGGGACCCTGGTACCCTTAGCCTANCTGGGTGGGGATGTGCTGCTGGGACCCTGGAACCCTTAGCCTATACCAGAGCTAGTTCAGCTGAATTTTGTTACCCTAGACTAGAGTAACCAGTACTAAAACCACTGATTTCCATCTGAATCCTGATTTTTGACAGTTAATAATATCCAGTAGTGTTTCATGATAGTCATCTTCGACGCTGCTGAGGCTGAGTTGCAAACATTTAAACTTGCTGATCAGTCATTTTTTTATATTTTTGAGTGGTAATTCCTGATTTCCTTAGTTAAGATAAAGTCTTCAACCAAGTGGTCAGTTTCGTGAAAAATGATACCCTATTCTAAACCCAAACGCCCTGATTTATATACCGTATGCTAGAGTAAACTGCTTGAAAACCATACCCTTCACAGCGTCACATACCTATATAGGCCATATATGGCAGTACCCCCCTCTCCCCCCGGCCTAAGGCACCCAGTCATCAACTTAATTTCACTTCAGAATGATGTCTACTAAATACAAAGGTTTTTGCGCCAGATTAGGACCATACGAAAAAAGTAAATGTATATCTTTGCAAGGGCTATTGGAAAATTATGGGGGTAGCCATGCATTTATGCAAGATAATTAACCAACATTGTTTTGAAAAAAGAAGGAAAGGATATTTCTTCACAGATTTCCTCAGAATTTGTCCTTACATATGGAAATGCAAACACATTATTTTATAAAGATCTTACAACTACATGGTAAATGGTAACATAAAAACCACTTTTGGAATGTTTTCAACAAAATCGTTGCAACAGCTAAAATACAGTCAAAATAGCTTTTCCTCACAACCAGGAACTAATCACATGTTGAATAGGTTTGCCACATAAAATGAAGGGGTAACCACGCATTTTTTAAAATTATTCAATCAACTTTTTTGAAAACTTTTATGGTGTCCATAACATTTTTTCCTGGTACCTCCCAAGTAAGTGAAACATCTGCGTCTCTTGCACTTGTTTTGCTCACTAACTACACCATCTGTAGCGATAGTTTTTCAGCTTGAAGCCGTTAATGGTTAGTTAGCGATACGCTGATATTCCAATATTCCTGGTTTTTAGTACAAGTTCATTAAACTTGATATTTTGGTCACAGGAGGAAAATTGTGCTTTCGCTTTAGTACTTCAGGTAGCATAGTTGATAACGTCAATGCCAACCCTTGTGCACGTGTGGCATTTAAACCATGCCTAGCGTGATGCGCAGAACAAAAATAGGCACCTTAACTATGACCAAAATTGAACTTTACTATGCCAAATTTAATTTACAATAAAGCACTTATTACAAACTCTAGAATGACACTTAATGATATTCAAATAAATGCCTCCTCAAAAAGTGCACAAATTGAATAAGTGGAACCTGAGTAGGGTATGAATAAGAGGGGATGTATCAGGGGTGCACCCAGCCTTTTTTCTTGTAGGGTGATACATCTGGTCCTTAATATTCTTTCAATTTTAATTATTCATTAATTAATTTAAACAATTTGCCAAAGGCAGGTGAGATGCAAAAGAACATTTCATCCCCTAAAAGGTGTGTCACCCTTACCCAGCCTACAAATTGTAAAAACAAATAATGGACACCCCTAAGAAATAAATATATTAAGTGAATAATTGCATGTGAAAAGAAAAAAGTCAATTAACTCACCATCTAAGACTGTTCAGTTATAAAGCTGTTCAGAATGCTTGTGCATGTTACATTTAAGAAGGGAAACTTTCTTGAAGTGCATATTTTATACTGTGTTAAGTAGGACCAATTTCTGTACCATTTCGCAGGCTCATAGATTTGTAGTCAGTGATGTGCTCTCAATCTCACACCTACCGTCTTTTAAAATAAGGAATAGTTGGCCCATTTTAAAAATTTGAAACTTGGAAAGAGGAGTTCTGGCTCTCCTGGAACCCTCTCCAGGATATGCTCCACGAGGTATTTCAGTTTATCAAGTTTAACTTTCCTAATTGAATGTAATTAGCATGATAAGTACTTTATTTAAGCTGTCCTCCCAAACAGCATCAAATAACATGAGCGACAATTCAGTACTTACTTGGTATAAACTGTATTTCAATGCTCTCATTAGTCCCCTTCTTCAGTTCACATGGTTCCATGACACAAGGACTGACATCCACAAAGTTAATTTTTGCTAGACTCCCTAATAAAAATGATTGAAATGCCTCAAAAAACTTTACAATTTAAAGATAATCAAATCCTCATGAAACAAAACAGCACCATCCCCAGTCCCCTGACACAATTTACCCCTACCCCCTAAGAAAGGAGAGTAAAACCCCATAACACATGCTAAAAAAACTGACACAGCACGTCAAAAATTCAGCACAGCACTACCCATTTACACAACGCAATGAAAAATATTTTTTGTCCTGCTTGACAGTATCAATTTGTGTACTGGCACCCAATTTCCATCTGTATTTCCTGGGAAATGGTGCATAAATGTTTTTCCCTGATTGATCATTCTACTTTAATCGCATTATGTGACTTGCAATGAAACTAAGGAGTCATTGACGACTTTTAAGGGTGAAACAGATCGACAGCTGAAAGAAATTGAAACCATTAAAGTGCCCTCGTGATCAAATTCTCAATATCCATTTTTTTACATCTTCGTACACAATAGGTCTTTTCTAGATATCTTGCCAAATTTCAATATTTTACCAACATTAGAACTCACGTTTTTTGGACCTTTATTTCCGAGAATTTACCAGGGCTATAAATTTTCCTTGTTCCAAGTCTTGGTTGAGAATTGAAGTAAATGACGTCATTTAGTCAAAAATACCACACAGGTTGAAATCATAATAACAATTAGTGTAGAAAATCGCACAAATATAAGAGCCAAAATTTTTGCTATTCTTTATGCGAATTACTTTATTAACTCTCTCTCTTAATTCTGCACCCCCCTTGTGGGTTAGGGAGAAGAGATGGCTGAAATTCAGACTACTATCGAGAGTGATTTAGGTATGCACCTTGCAATATGGAGCCTTTACTTAGCCATTCACGATTTTGCTTTCCTTAAACACTCTTTCTAGTGTAAGAGCAGGGTTACTAAAGAGAGCACCTACTTGCTTATTTTCGTGATTCGGGAAAATGAAATTTTGATTTCCGTGAACCGTGATTCAGAGACCCTGTGCGACCCTCTTAGTGGCCTAACCGGACTCAAAGGTGGCTTCAATTCAGCTTTCATTCCTGTCTAAACTGTTCGAACTTGCCTGTGGCGAACTGGAATGTCGCATGGACGAACACCGGTTTGGTGTGGTGGAGAATTGCTCGTAATATTCTCAGGCTCTTGTCGATGATGAAAAGTTTAGTTTTGAATATATGATCGTATCGACGCTATCAAAATATTTCCACAGGTGAACATCGTTGGATTTACTGCGTAGCAAATTAATCAGCTTAAGGATACCATTACATGAAAACCCTTAGTACAGGATACGAGGAAAATTCTACAAAGCTACACGTGTCGTCACGAACGTATGGCAGCACGTTTTGCCTGTATACTTACCACAGTCTGCAAAGTTTACATGTCTACTGGAGCCCAAAGCGAGAAAACTGAGTACAACAACGGGCAGGATAAGGGACTTTGCCATATTGAAATCGTGGTCCACTTCAGCAAATACTAACGCATTCAGCTTAAAGACTTACAGCGTGCTGAATTCGAACTGACTGCGGGCTGTCAAAATGAAAGCAATATGAGTTGAGCACTTTGTCACGTGATGAGCACCTGATATGGGTGATGACGTGCGGGTGCCAGGCAGTCGGGTCTTGTAAAACAGTAGCGACATTTAGATAATACTGTTCTCTCTCTTTGCCCTAAGGTAAAAGAAGCATTTATTGAAAGTGAAGCTTTGGAGCCGACTGGCTCATAGCTTCCGGAGCCCATCCCGGTTTCTGTAACATGAAGCGGCTAGGAGGACGGGATGCTAGTCCATCGCAGGTCACTTCCCCGCAATTTGTTAGGTTTCCCCAACAATTCGCCGGTACCCATTTATACTCCTGGGTGGATAGAGGCACTGTGAGACTTACGTGTCTTGCCCAAGAACACAACACAATGTCCCTGGCCAGGGCTCGAACCCGGACCGCTCGATCCAGGGACGACCGCGCCTCCTAAACATTGTGCTAAAATAGCTTGAGTTTTCGTATAGCGTGATTTAAAAATCGTTTCCGGTACACGTACCCTGATAATGAAAGTGCACTACATTCCTTTCGGAGGAAAAAAATAGTGTCAGGTAGCTTGTGAAAAGGCTCAAAAACAACTTCTACATTTATTTTCTTCTTGGCATTTTAATAATCTACGTTCCCGTCAGGGACTACTACCACTTTTAATCTGGAATAATGAATTACTGCCAGAACATTGTAGTTTTCCAGTCTGTGTACGAATTTTATTGGCTTGATTTCCTTCTTTCACAGTAACGCTTGATTCTATTCCTTAAAAATGGCTCTAAAACTGCGAGATTCCTATAACGACAATGTTCGCGTTCAACTCCTGTCTTTGGTCATGAAATTTTAGCTACGCGTCAGTAAGTGTCAATCATTCAACAATACATGTCTAAAAATATTTCTTCTAATGTCTTATCATTGCTCATTGCTCAGTAGGCTCGGTTCTTTTCTTGACAGTGTGCCCTTGGTTTTCTCCATCAAAGCCAGTATTTCAGTTGTCAAAATGTTTTTAACTTACCCCTGTTTCGTCCGCTAGACAATTCTGGAAAGAATCCATGCAAGTTGCACCTTCCCGGGGGCGGATCCAGGATTTTTCTCAGGAGGGGACGCAGCACTAAGGAATGGCGTAACTGCACTGACTGAGGTAAACAAATTTTAAAAGCAAATGCGAAGAAGAAGTCTTCATCTCGGTGGGGGGGGGGGTGCGCAACCCCTGCACCCTCCCCCAGATCCGCCCCTGCTTCGCATCCCCACTTGTTATCTCCCAGCCAATACTCTGTAAAGCATCAATGAAATCAGATCGATCTTGTATCGACTGCACTGCTTGCTTTCCCCACCCCTCACATATCCTCAGTTGGGGGTTTTAACACCTTCTGAGTGTATCAAACAGCACTTTCTTTGTTACAGTGCTGTTACGTTCACGAAATGAAGTAAGAATTGAATGAAAGAAAATTTTGAAGTGTGAATAACTTTTGCAGTTAAGGCTAACATCTTTTTAATCAGCTGCGACCAACTCCGGTTTTCGATAAAATGCCTCAGTGCATCTACAGTACTTTCAGGGCCGTAGCCTGCAGTGCAGGCTTCTTATTGGGGCGAGTTAGCGTTACAACCTTGCGAGCGCCTTTTTAGACCGCCATGTTAGACCGCCATGTTAGACGGTGGGGGATAGGGGAGGGGAAAAATGAGAAGACNTCGTTCGCTAGACAATTCTGGAAAGAATCCATGCAAGTTGCACCTTCCCGGGGGCGGATCCAGGATTTTTCTCAGGAGGGGGCGCAGCACTAAGGAATGGCGTAACTGCACTGACTGAGGTAAACAAATTTTAAAAGCAAATACGAAGAAGAAGTGTTCATCTCGGTGGGGTGGGTGCGCACCTCCTGCACCCTCCCCCCAGATCCGCCCCTGCTTCGCATCCCCATTTGTTATCTTCCAGCCAATACTCTGTAACGCATCAATGAAATCAGATCGATCTTGTATCGACTGCACTGCTTGCATTCCCCACCCCTCACATATCCTCAGTTGGGGGTTTTAACACCTTCTGAATGTATCAAACAGCACTTTCTTTGTTACAGTGCTGTTACGTTCACGAAATGAAGTAAGAATTAAATGAAAGAAAATGTGAAGTATGAATAACTTTTGCAATTAAGGCTAACATCTTTTTAATCAGCTGCGACCAACTCCGGTTTTCGATAAAATGTCTCAGTGCATCTACAGTACTTTCAGGGCCGTAGCCAGGATCTTTCAAAGGGGGAGTCACACTGTGTCCAAGTGAGGGTACTCACCAGATTTGTCAAGGCGTTTTCAACACCTGTTGTAGGTTGTTTGCTTAAAAAGGCTTACAAAAGGGGGGCCACGGGCATCCCAGGACCCCCCTAGCTATACGTTCTTGACTTAGCTTGACTTTTATGTCTTTTATGAGATCACGTACCCTACTTTCTTTGAGTTTATTCTTGATATACCGTATACATCCAAAAGAAGGGTATCAAATAAAAGTCATCGAAATGAGAGCGGCTTCAATGCCATTCCTGCAGGATCTAGGACCCAGGAGTGTCCTGATTGTTAGAGAGCTTGAGAGGGAATTAAAAAAGAGACGGGCACGATAATATCACCGGTATGAGCGGTTGCTCATGCAAAAACTCTTTTGGCCATTTAATACACACTGTCATATCCTTCTTACAAATCAAAACCTAACTTATTGCACGCTCTAGTTGAAAATTATTCCGTATTTCAGTCCAGAAGCCTTTCTAGGGCCAATGTAAGGTTACAAAAGGGCAAAATCTACACCTAATACAGATTGAAATCTCAAACTCATAAAAGCATGAGTCGGCAATCAGTCTTCCTACTCGGCCAGGGCCGGGGAGGAGAGAGAAAGGCTATAACGAGTGGCTCTGGGGACGAGAATGCGTTTACCCATCGTGCTCCGTAAAAAGTGTTGCATGACAACCTGCTACAAAGTAGCGCATAGCCAACACAAACTCACCTAAGGAGCGTCGGTTAGTTACGCTTGACGGATGACATTGTCAGACGCTGTTGACGTACATGTAGTACCACAAGTCGATTACCTAGCTAAATTGGATTCAGTATTTTTCCAGAAGTGAGAAGCGGCAAGCAGATCCTTCGATATCACCAGAGAGCTTTTGAGTGCTTGTAAGTGAACTATTTGTGGGGCAATTGCAGAATACCCGGCCACTTCAGTTACATGTGTCGGTTTGCTTTGAAGAACGAGTTATATAACAATAGTTGCCATTCCCATTGAATGAGATGTTGTCGAACTTTAAGCCAGTTTAAGTCGTATGTATTTATGCCAAGTTAAAAATACGTTGCTGGCAGCGTTGCTTCGAATCTTTCCTACATAAGATGTGTACGCTGCAATCTTCTTGACGACGTAAAGCTGTAAAACGTCACCTCCGAGCGAAGGCGGAAAACCGAGGAAGCGATAACTTGCAAAATTAACATCGCTAAAAAGCGAACAGATAACAAGCAATACCCTGTAGAGGCAGGATAAAGCATTTTTATTAAGATCTCTCTCGTATCTCTACCTCCTAGAACCGACCGTAAATATTCCCACCCAAAGACTTGTATTTAAACTGATTTTAATTCGTGCTAAAATCGTCTTTAGCCTTAGGCAAATATTTTGTTTTTAATTATAATTAAATTAAACAATACAACAGCTGCATTCCAGACATTCATTCAGAGTTCATTGTCGTCTGATAACGATCAAAAACAATAAAATGAACCAGTTTATAGCGTACAATATATGATCAATAATTAAATAATGTGCATAGCCTTATACACTCTTCACTCTTTTTCTGTAAGAACCTTTTTTATAAGAACGTTGAGGCTGAGATTAACCAAAATTTAAAGAATGTATTAAGAACATTCCTCAGGCTAAGAGTCAGTTAAGAACGTTTTTATTTTGCTAATCTGTATATTAAATCAGTGGTGGATCCAGACCTTGAGCTAGTGGAGGGGAGGGGGGGGGGGCAAGGGGGGGGGGT